AACAGCTGGTAGTTTCGAACTGCTGACCCTGAGGTTAGCAGCCCGATATGTAACCGCTATGCTACCAGAGCTCCTTTCCTATTTAAATAGCATCCTGCAAAATTATGTGACAAGAAAACCATCCTCCCACAAGCTCTTACTCAGCTTGTTGTTGCTGTTGTTACCTGCTATGGAATCCGTTCCTATTCATAGTATCCCTGTATAGGATTTCTGAGGAGCAACTGGTGGGTTTGAGCTGCTGACCAAGTGGTTGGTAGTGTTTATCCTATAGCACAACTAAGCTGAGTTCAACAATTTATTGCAGTGAGTGAGTCAGAATATGAATTCTGTTCACTCATTTCCCAAAGTTTAGACTTTTCAACTATTGTCTGTTACTTTAATTGCCAAGTCTCAATTGTCCCTTATATTAGCAAAATAACATTTGAGAATCTAGAATAGGCCCTACTTTTGCCACAAGACGAAATAACAATTTCCAGCACTAAAACGGAATTCTCTGATGTTTTGAGGAAAAAAAAAAAAAAAAATGTAACTAGTCTTGTTAAATATTTTACCATTGTTGTTGTTAAGTGGGTGAGTTTGAATTGTCGTACTTGCACGTCAAATTGACCTGGTAGTCCAGAACATTTTTCTGCAGCCCCACACCAGGACTCCATTGTGGCCACTGTGGCCACTTCCTTATATCAGGCTTTCTTCTATACTTATGCTTTGTCTGGAAATTTATCAAATTCATACTACAATGACAATTTCGAATCTGACATTGTTACTCTGTTATTCATAAGCTTTTTAGTGGCTAGCCATTCAAAATCAGACCCTCTCTCCTTCTTCTAGTCTATCTTCGTCTAGAAGTTCCACTAAAACCTATCCATGTTGACGGACTCTGTTAGTTCTGTAGTCTCCAGCATCACAGCACCAACTTGCCACAGTACAACAAACTTTGTGAAAGAGATAATCAAGTGGTTAGCCACTAGTAACCTAATGAATAGCAATAGAACATTGTCAGATTTAGATCTAAAAGTTGAACAAACATCCTTTAATAATCAGAAATTGGTATGCATGAAGTATGAATCTTGGAAAATTAGAAGTAATCAAAAATTAAATGGAATGCCAAAAAAAAAAAAATCAATATTTTAGGCATTGGTGAGATAATATAGGCTGGCACTGACCATTTTGAATCAGACAATCACTGGTTTTCTATACCAGAAACAACAAATTGAAAGCAATGGTTTAGTTTTCATCATCAAAAAAAGAGCATTTCAAGATGTATCTTGAAGTACAATTCTGTCTGTGGCAGGATAATATCCATATGACTACAAGTAAAACCAAGGAGCTCTGGTAGCGTGGTGGTTACAAATTGGACTGTGAGCCTCAAGGTCAGCAGTTTGAAACTACCAGCTGTTCCATGGGAGAATGATGAGGCTTTCTGCTCCCGTAAAGTTTTACAGCCTCGGAAAACCTGTACAGGGTCACTAAGAGTCGGAATCGACTACACGGCACATAACCACCACCACATGTAAGACCATTCAAATTTATTATTCAAATGTAAGCACCAGCTATTAAAGCCTGTGATGATGAAATTGAAGATGTCTGGAATTG